GATATCTGGCCATTTCCGTATTCCCGTTGTATAGTCTACCCTGTTGGGTGTAGCTTGATCTACAGTTTATTTTGTTTTTCTTTTTGCTTTGATTGTTTCAGGATCATTTAAAAAAAATAAAATGGCAGGCCTTGAGTGCCTCCCCGAGAGGTGAGACAGCGAAACGAACAACTAACGTATCGCATTGGGTTCTCGAGAACGATGGCAACAACTGATATCAGGATAGGGGTATCAGAAACCAACCGCGCCCTCGTGGGATTGGGCTTGTTCTGTACATAGGGTGCCAACCGTGTCGCGCTTGGAACTATTGCGAGGCTCGTGGTACTGTAGAGGCGTCACGGCAACTGCGTTGGAAAGCAAAGGCTTCCCCTGTGAAGGGAAGAGGGTGTCCCGGAAGTGGGAGCCCAAACCGCGTGTCGCGTAGAAGTCGATGGATACTCCGGCAAAAACACGAGGGACACCGTGGAGACGACTCAACAAATCTTCACTGGCATATTTATATCGTTGTGTACTTACTTGTGGAGTGTCGTGCAACGGGGCTGGCAGAGATCTAAGGAATCGAGGAAATGATAATTTGTGGTGTCGTCCCCGTATATTCTGAGTGTCGCATGCATTTCGGCGAATATGGACACTGAACACAAAAGTGATTTCGCTATTTGAGTGGTCCAATTTCATTTGCCCGTTCGCTCTTCTACCCGGTGCATGTATGAGTGTTCTCACACCCCATCAATCCTTGTTCGCCGGCTGCTTGTTTTCACTATCCCCAACTCGTTTCCAGGCCGGTCGACCGCAGCACGGCAGGTAACATTGGGCTCGCTGATGAGTGAACCAGGACTGTTACCTGTCGTGAGAGTATATCACGTATCATAAGGATACATCTATCTCTCCTTCGTGACGCGGATACGGAGGTACAACGACAGTGGATGGGGGGTTGTTCATCGGTTTCAAAGGCTCAACGAAAAACCATCAGGAGCAACTAACTGTAGATAGTTGGTGTGTGCGGACATGTTGTGCATGCGGTTGGTTTGAAGTAGTTGATATCGTCTAGCTGTAGTTGTGTGGGTGCTGCTACCCTTGCGTCTAAGTGCACAGATACCAAAGGCTACATCCGACTGCTGCACATTCCTTCGTACCAATATGTGGTGCTCGATTCTCGGCGACAGAGTGCGACGCTGTGTCGTCATGTCCTGAAGCGACGACTTGCTCTCCTGGCACCGCGGGCTACACGTGCGGTAAGCAAAGTTTTGTGCACTGAGTGGTGCAACCACCGTTGTTGAACTGATGCAGGGGGTGTTTCGCAACCTCGTGTGAATAGTGAACAGCTTTGGCACTCTAGGGACCTTTGTTGCTGCCATTGGTAGGAACTAAGAATCTCATATCGCGATATCAGCAAATTTACACAGACAGATGATGAGGTGACTGTCATGACCATTCGCGCTGGTGTAGTCTACGTAGTAGGTGACGCGCAAGGCTACAGAATGTCGACAGTGATGAGGAATCACTCGTTTTTCGGTCGAAACAACAGTTTTCGAACGCACATCTCACGTTCAGCTTTGCACCCCTTGTTCACTCAGACCTACCTTGTTCGGAAAAGCCTGGGTGGCGTGATTTGGAAGGACGCGGCACCAACGACGTCTTGCAAGCCAAGGGCCTTTACTTGGATCAAGGCACCAATGCACTTTGCGTGGTTGCAGGCCAGTCTGTCTAAGAAGAGGTGTTTGCGACCAACATGAACCCGGTAAAACTCCTCACAATCGCGGTTTGAAAGGCGACACTTATTGACGTTCGGATGCTGGGGAGGCAGGACCGGTGAGGCAGCGGCGAGGATAATCCACAGCATTACAAAGTGGACCTTACCACTTGCCTACATGCAGTTCGAAATCACATCAGACAAGAACCAACGAGGATGTTGACACCCGGAAATGTACCACATGTATGCTTACACATGTATGCATGTTCGTAGCCCCAGGCCGGTTTGCCTACATAGACTACTGGGCAGTCAATAAGTCAACGAAGTTTTATAATGTCTTCACAGTCGTCGTCCCGCCAGGAAGAGACGGACATGGAGATTACAGGAAATAAAGGAGAGCGGCATGTTGTAGAGTTGTAGAGCCACCTCCAGAACGCCGCCATTCAAGTTACCAAGTTACCCCGCATGTGTACTCCCGAACCGACACGAGAATCGTCACAGCAGAGACATTTGCTGGAAAGTTTTGGTTGAACTGGATGCCGTTTGACAAATGCAAGAGTACAGTCCTGTATCCTGTGTACACTGCACCGACATGTGTATATCGATGTTTTGGCGGGTTGAATTCCGGCTCTCTTTTCACTAAACAATGTCTGGATTTCTTCTTTGGGAGGAGGGGGTCGTACGTGTACTTTCATTTTGCACCAAGTGTTCCTGCAGCTATCGGCAGTAGGTCAGGATAGATCGGCAGCCGCCCGCCAGGGAGGACGGCACGGCCACCCGAAACGTGGGTAGACCAAAGGACGGGGTAGGTTCGAGTTTCAGCGATTTCTCATCCAATCCAATGAGACAGGCGGCCAACACGGACATCTTGGCGTGGTCTATCCTCTGTCTCGAAAAAAATTAATCAGAAAGTTCAGGTTCCATTGTTTCATTTTGTGTTCAGCAGCACGGTATAGTCTAATGCCGGTTGCCCGCTAAAAGCCGGTGATATCGACTGGCACCACTCCAAGCCGGTAATGTATAATAGAGTCCGACCCCTCTATAATGCCGGTTCGGGGGGTGGGTGGCCCGTGAATAACGCCGCTTCTCAAGATTGCTAGCACACTGCACACACACACACACAGCAGCATCAGTCGATGGATGTTGGTAGGGTGGGGTACGGGACGGTTGTTGTCGTTTTTGGCCAACACCAGCGGCCTGACCACTTTATGTTGTTGTTTCTCTCTTCAACTGCTGCTTTTCATGGATGGCCACACAGAGCAAAACAGTTAAAAACGCTCATCGCTCCCTACGCGATCAATGCGTATAACCAAAGCAACAGACACGATACACCCCACGACCATCGCAGCACAGTCAGTCCGAGCATACACGGCAGCCGCATTTGTACAAAACGCAACACAAAAAAATATTTGAGTGTGGCGCACAGCACGCAGGACCCTCTTTCTCTGTTCAACCGGCCGTTCCCATGGCGAAACAGACGAGGAACTGTCAAGGTCGAGTCGTGTCGAACACAGGAGGTGCAAGCTGCTCAAAGTCGGGGAGGGATCCATGGCTTGCGATTCTCTAAGGAACCATACTCGAAGCGCCGCGAGATTTGTACTGCTGTAGCCCGAGATCAGCATTTGAGACCGGGTCTGGCCAGCGGAGGGGGATGCGAATGAAAGTTCCACCCACCCACACACGGATATCGAACGATGAGACTGAAGCTTAAGCTTCAGAATAATGCCGGTCCTTCCGCTATAATGCCGGTCATCAGTCTTGGGAGATCCTGTGTTGGATAGTTCGCCCTGTGGAGGCCGGGTTTCGCAAAATACCACAACCTCCTCAATGAACCGATGTGAACACACAAAAATTATCTTATTTGCGCTGCATTGTTGGAAGAGAAACAAACGTGAACCTCGCCAAACAAGACGGCTTCTCACGCAACGCATGTTGAAACTCCAAAACGCCCAAATCGAGCGTGGCCTCACCTACATCAAGTAGGTATATCTTGCATGAGCTTACCCATGCTCACACACGCTCCTTGGGTGTGCGACGACAACAAAAACAACCTACACAAGCCCGCGAAGAAAGCAACGAGAGATATGCTTCGGCTTAGGTCGGCGCATATTATGGAAAGGCGACGCAATCTTATCCCCCCAAGTAAATCATCTGTGGTCGATCACGATGCCACCCTTCTACCAAGCAACCGAGTTTGCCCAAGCTTGGTCAAAAAGAGGAGGGCTTACGGTCTTGCTGCTAGCATACGACGGTCGAAAAGCGGATACTACCGAACATGTTTGGTGGATAGCCTCAAGCACAAGCAACAGGGGACAGAGCCATAACGCATGTATCCGAAACGGCATATCGCGCGTCGAACGTAAAAACCCATCACACCCATCGTGCGCATCAAGTCCTAGTGCCTACCTGGCTACGGTATACCTACGACGAATCCCGCGAAGTGCCAAGAAGAGGGTTCGCTCCTCCTGCAACATCCAAAACGAGATGACAGCCACAAATAGCAACACCCATTGTGCGCACCATGGAGTTAAAGCGCCCACTGACACGCTCACCGTAACATACTACTATCGTAACCGAATCAACTGAACACCAAGGGTACACGCGAAAAATCGAAATCAAGACACATAGGCTAGGTCTACAAATCGAAACGGAGGCCGAGCGTGAGGGGGAAGTGGGGCGTACCCTTCTTTTGCATGCCTTAGCGGTTAGACCATTGACCACGAGTCCTCAAGGGCAGTGGGTAAAACAATTTTCGGGGGGGGGGGGCTCGACTTGTATACAATTGCGCTACGGGCACCGTGGATAGAAACCCCTCTGCAATGAGAGGCCAATGACTTACTTTGGTGAACGAAGCCCCCTTTTGTACAAAGTACACGTACATAAAACCGAAATCGAAATTGCCTCCGGGGGGGAGGGGGGTGGGGGGCTTATGTGTGCGGAAATATTTTTCACGTGTACCCTTGCGACATTATACCATGCACACCACAACCGAGCACACCCATCCGCTGGACGGGGCGCTCGACGGAAGCAAGTTGCACGGCCCACCGATACTGGCATCCGGTCCGCCCGTGACCCCATGGTGGCCCGTACCCGACTCCAATGCCCGAACTGCGATGCGATATCTCCCACATACAAAGCAGCGAAACATGAAAAACCTTTTTATTGTATCCCGACTAACTGTATTTTGAGGGACCCTTCCTGTGGAGTGAAGCCCCGAGCAAAGAGGGCTAAAACGCACTCAAGATGAAATCAGACGCACCGGCGTCGGTGCACGACCAGCTCGCGCTTAGTGGTCATGGCCCTCGTGTCCCTAGCCGGCGTGGCAGTGTGCGTGAAACATGAGGGGGATGCCAATGATGAGCGCTCCGAACGCGAACGACCCAAGCTTGCGGATAGAATCTCCCAGGCCCTTCCCGTCCATCGTCAACGACAGGGCTTCCGGCAGCAGCTCGGTGAGCCCGATGAAGATGAAGGAGCCAGCGCCCAACAGGAGGATGATCGCGATCTGGAAGTTCGTGAACTGGTCACCAAGCGCCAGGATGAGGACCGCCCCCAGGATGGCGGGAATTCCTGACACCAAGTTCCAGGTGAGCGCCTGCAAGGGGCGCGCAAGGACGGACGGTGGGAAAATATTAGCATAAAGAACATGGACGGACTTTTGAGAATATCCACCTACTCTCCACGACGGAACGACAAAGCAAGAAAGCAAGAAGCGAAGGCACGCAGCACTGCGAGGTGAAGCCAATGTGGTCCCGGGTGGGCGCCATACCGAAAAAGGAATGACGTTCCCATGTGCACTCCTGACGGAATAGGCTTGCCGGGGCCAGCATGACCACGGCACACCAAGACGCCGCCACTGAACCAGCACGTCGGACGGCAAACGGTATGCACCGCCGAGGACAGAGTGCCCTCGGACAACAATACCAGCCGGTCGACCAACCAACGACGACGCAATAAACAAACAAAACCAACCTGCTTGATGCTCATGCCACCGTTCAGGAGGGCGACGAAGTCGGCCATCTCGCTGGGAACCTCGTGGATCAACGTCGACGCCGTAATAGTCCAGCCCATGGTTGAGCCGCAGCTGAGGAAAGCCGCCCCGATCGTGAAGCCACAGGTGAAGCTGTGCACCTGGTGTTTTGAGCACAAGAGTTCGGCTGAGACTGACTGGAACACCTTGGTTGGAGGCACGCCGACGGAAGAGGAAACGTGTTTATTTATTCTTGAAAGGCCCTGCGTCACACGCGTAAATCCACCCCAAGCCACTCACCGCATCGCCAACAATCACGTTCCAGCAGATAGGCTTGAGCCCCTTGAAGTCGAACAATGCCCTGCCCTTCCTCTGCTCGACCAACTCCAACAGATTGTCCGGGATTGTTGGCGTGGTCGGCCCTCTCGACTGGCCTCCATCAGCCTCGACAACCTTAGCTGTGGCCGGAGCACCTGTGTGCGAGTGGCCCGCCGTGCACACCGCACGAATGATGACAGAGGCTGTGATGCCAGCGAGCATGGTGACGCCGGTGTGGATTCCAAGGTCGTACAAGCCAAGCTCTGAATCCTCGAAGCGCTCAAACGACTCGGGGACGATGTGAATCAAGGATGCCGTGAGGATTGCGCCAGTCGCGAACATGTACGCGTGCGAGAGGTCGACGCCGTTCGCGATACGCTTGTTGATGAGCAGGAAAATTCCCACGAAGCTGCCGCGCAACGATTGCAGACAACGGGCGGGGTTGGGCACAAGGTACATACGCGAGGTCAGTTGAGCCGGTGTCTAACAGCTGTGAGAATAAAACGAGTGTCTGCCCCTGAAGATCTAAATCCCCGTAAACAATTCTGTTCCTGCGATTTGTCGGGGTCGAGGGTCAGCGCAGGCCAGAACGAGCTTGAAACGGCGTTTCTTCCTGTAGTTTCCACATACCGCAGATCTCCGTTGAGATGTCCTCGGGGACGGGGTGAATGTAATGTGTTCGTTCGTAAATGCACATCCCCCACCGTTCAACCGAAAAATGAAAGGAGGGGGGATATTTTTTGTTCCCAGCAGCCCCTACATGAACCCGGTGGGAGCAAGCAAAAGCACAAGACACGATGTCACCGACCACACACCTCCTTCGCTGCTAGGCCCTATGATTGGCAAATCTACGGGCAACGGTTCAAGAGGAAATCGTTGCCTTGGCAAGGCAACGGGGGGCGTGTCAACAAGCAAAAATAATCTTGTATGTTGGAGAGGAAGATGAGCTGGCTGGGCAACGAATGTGTAGTAGTAAGTATTGCTGCTGTTGTTCATGTTGGTGGGTGCACGTGCCAGTTCGGCAGTCTTGTTCGGGGTTACTTTTCAGACTAGCGAAACCGTACTTGTCGGGTTGCGAGGGGGCGTTCGGGTGCTGCTGCAATGTCTGGGTGACAAAAAAATACCACCTAGTGCGTAAAGTTCCCCCAAATCCGTACACTTCGGTATTGCGTGGAACTGGATGCGACTTGACGCACATCGCTGACACGGTTACGGCGAAACGTGGTCGAAGGAGGTACTCTCCGGGGGACATCTCCCGAGGGAATTGTCACCCCGCCGACAATAACAAAAATAGAGCAAGGGGAGGGTCTCAACTTCTCGCTACCGACCGCGAGGGCACTTATTCTGGTCCGGTCCAAACAGGGAACCGGGGGTTGGTTATGCATCCCAACACATCTCCACACCGGGAGGGATCGAACTCGACGGACACGATTGTGTTAACATCTATTATAGACTACCGTGCACCATCACGCTTTTCGTCTCTGGTCCTCGATACATTTCCTTCCTTCATAGCCGGGAACGGATTTCAGGGAAAGCTCCGGCGTTCAACAAATCGGGTGGTCTCCTACCTGGTGAAGCAGGCGATGCAAGTCGCCACGATAGCCTGGGCCCACTTTGCTCCGGACACCGTGTCTCCCTCCTCCTCCTCTTCCTCGTCCATAAACTCGCTGACGGAGGCGGCCACCGCCGTACCCAACGGGGAGATGAGAGCCGTGCTCACCTCCCCGCCCCCGTGCTCGAGCAGCAGGGCGTAGGCTCCCGCGTCCGTAACCTCGGCCGGCACCACGATGATGGACTCGTCGAGGGTGGTCTGGTACACTACGGTCGCGTCCGGGATGACAGTTTCGCCGGAGGCTAGAACGGTCGCGTCTTCTTCGCCGTCCATGAACGCGTCCCACGCTGTTCGGCACGAGAGGAAAGGGCAGGCGGGGTGTTGGGTGAGTTGGCAGCCAGGTTGACAAAAAAGCGCTTGTGTGGGATTTCTGTGAGTCAGACCGGATGTATGCGTCACGCCGGGCTCCTTGAAGTCAGCCTCCAGACGGCGGTATGACGTATAGTGACTTTACGTGATACTGAATTTTCGGGTACAAGCGTTATATTCCCGCAGACCGTCCGTTTGGCTGATCACAGCAGCAATCTCCCTAGAAATATATATATGGGGTATATAGTTTGGCGCCTCCAACGATGTACATCATAGAACCTATCCCCCGCAAACATTCGCCGAAAAGTGCGGTCAGACTGACTTTTTACCTCTCGCCCCGGAGGTGAACACTCCTCTTTGACGAAAAAAGAAAACATCTCTGGCCCCCTTTTCATCTCGCCGCGGGATGTGTGTGTTCACGTGAGCCTAATGTTTCCTTTCAACAAACCTACAAATGCAACGTGATGTCGCGGTTCTCGAATTGAAATATCGCATGGTACGACACCAGAGTTCATTATTCCAGTAAGCCTGGGGTGTCCGTTGTATTATTCCTGCTCTTTACCGATCACTTCAATAGAGTATTGGCATTAGTGGCTGAGGCCTCCTGCCCAGCTCGGCCAGCGGGCTCCACCCAAATTTCCTTGGCGCCCTTGTGTCTAATTTAACGATGGGGTACTTTCGTGCAATTTCAACAGCAATTTCGTAGCAAAAACTGGCCCATTCGATTTTTGTTTGTTAACTTGTTTTAGATGACGTACATGGCCGTAGGAGAAAAGAGTCAAATCGATGAAGACAGACAGACACCGTCGGTAATTTGTAGAGTAGACGGTTTTATACAAGCCCGGCGCGATCTCCCCGATTGATTCTTGCTGATGCACAACAAACGTTTTTCTCTGGTGGGAGAGCATCGTGGTGCACATAGGAAGACGCCTTCCAAACTTTCTAGATGAACACTGCCGCGTCCCAGATACATTGTTAGTCATCTACGCACAACGACGCTGTTGTTGATTCGGGTCAGATGTTTATGGTTATTTGCTCTCATATTTCTAGATGTTTGCGATACGACATATTCTAGGTGTGCTTTGCGAGTGTAGGCTTGGCATCGGGTCAGAATCACAATTTTGAGGTTGGCACTTCAGCAAGAGCTTGTGCAAAACAGCGTCTGTGCCATATTTTACCCTACAAAAGAGTGCAGCAGACGCACAGATAAATTGACTGAGTGATTCGGCACGTCAATGAACGCGCCTGTGAATGATGCTCGGTAGCGGCATGCTGACCAAACCTCCTGACACTGCATCCGTTTCGTGCTGGATATCTACCTCGACGATTTCCTGATCAGTGCCGGTACGCCATTCCTATGTATACATTGTAGCGTATTTTCTCAGAACCTATGCCATTACCGGCACTATTCAGGCCAACGTACTGTAATTCCGGTCGCCTGCAACAATGCCGGTGAACTCGGCTGACCGGCTGACCGCACCGGCATAATATTCCGGGAACACTTCTCTGTACTGTACCCACTGAGGGGTAGGCATACCCACTCTTGCACTTGCACTCTATTTCCCAGCTGCATCAATGCTAGCTTCGAAAGCTAGGCTTTCATTATACGCACGACTGCACACCTCATGTCGTGTACTTTCTTTTCATGTCCAAGTGGTACTTCCTCTGTCATTTGTATTTGTAGCATGATACCAGCAACTTCAACGGAAGCGCACGATTATTTCACAGCAAATGCGAGGGTGGTCGCCCGTCTGTTCACGCACTGCCACCAATGCACATTCATTCATAGCCGGTCCGCCACTGCGCACGAATGTTAAGAGTAGGCGGGATTCAAGGGTGAATGGAGTCTGCGATGACATCGGGAAGCACTGTAGGACGTTGTCAGGTTCTGGGATCTGACGCGGCAAAAAACTTTGCTTTCGAAGCTAGCATTGATGCAGCTGGGAAATAGAGTGTAAGTGCAACTTGTGCATATTTAGAGCATGTTGGCCGCTGGGAGGTTTGAAACCAAAATCAAATATCGCCCTCGGAACTGCGGCGCTAAGTTACTTTCGCTTCGCGTTGGGAACAGAAGGGAAGATATGGCCACGGCCGTATGTTCTTGTTGGTGCACGCCCACTCCCTCGAACAATAGTTGACGCACGAAGATGAGGCACTTGAGTCACGAGCGAAAAAGCAAGTTGTCGGGTATCGGTACACAAGGGCAACTGCTGCGCTACTGCTGTACCAGATAGTATGTAAGGTCATTCTCACCAGCCTCGGCATCTTCCTCCGCTCCTGCAAGGCCCTCATAGTCAGCAGAAGCAGCAGGCACGAGCATGAAGGCAAGAGTGCCCTCGAAGTCCTCCCCCGGCACGGCAATGACGGAGTGGGTGCCTGCCTCCTCCAAGACATAAACAGCAGCAGCCTCGAAGTGCCCGTCCGAGTGCGAGTCGTGGTCCGTGTGCGAGTCATGGTCAGAGTGCGACTCATGGTCAGAGTGCGAGTCGTGGTCAGAGTGGCTCGTCGTTCCGCTTGCTGTGGTACACGCCAGATACAGCGCAGCGGTGAAAAGGGCCCACTTCATCTTGGCACCAGAGACAGAGCAGAGATCGAGGAGGGATCCACGGACGGGATAGAAGTGGCTGCGTGGCAGAGAGTTTTTGACACGGGCGGCGTTACCAGAGAGAGGGAGAGAGATCTTGACGCCGTCGGATATGCATGCAACTGCAGGAGAAGTAGAAGTGTCATTCCGCCGTCGGATAAAAATGTAATCCCGAGTCGTCAGCTGTTGAGCCGCCGATCTCGACACCATTTGTTTTGGGGACGTACATGTTAGACCTTGCTCTGCGTCTGCATGTGAAGTAGGCGAAGCAGTACTGGGACAACGGAAATAAATCCCAGGAACAAAGTACTTTCTGTGAAAAGGCAAGTGTGCGTTGGAATTGACTGTCAACACTCCTGATCGAAACACAATCCAGTTTTGATCCCTACCGCAAGCCTCCAATGATGTTCGGAGCAGCCGGCATCGGACCCCTGCCGTGGTACCACATATACGTACTGTAGCTTGAGGCAAGGCGGGAAGGCTGTATCAAGTTTCGTGCAAAGCTGCTCTCCCGCATTGACCTTGTGGCTGACATCAACTTCCTCTGCTGCTTGGATCGCAACCTAGAGGTGTGTACTTGCATACACCTGTATGCATTTCGTCGTGTATACCAAACGACAGCAATATGTAGACTATCACTGCTGTCGCTGCCCTTCACGACCGGTGCTCTACAACATGGCTACGACACGTTGCAAGTGGTCTCAACAACGATCTTCGACATACATCGTCTGAGAAAACAGGGAAGTTCCCCTGCTTTTTTCGAAAGCACATGATGGCTACAGTACTGCTGTGTATAATCATACGTACGGATGTACAGTACAGTTCCTCTCTGCTTGCTGCTGCTGCCTTGCTGACCGCCGCCCGATTTTGCCTCGCTTCTCCAATACACATAAGAAGGATTGAACTGCATCTGATACAAGCGAACTGCTATCACCTTCCTACCTGCAGTACTATGTATCCAACTCTCTCCTTAAAACGCGTCTAACCTATACTCATCACACAAAGGTTATCAATGTCTGTACATTTCCAAATGAACGGAAACAGCTTGCTTGCTCGAACCTGCCAACTCCTTCTTTCTTAAAATAAATAAAAAAATGTAGACTCAATTTAAAGGAGGTGAAGCCGTAGACGATGGCTTGCTCCTAGAGGTAGATGAAGGTTCTGTCGTTGTCATTCATGTCCACGACCACGTAGAGATGGGGAAGTTGCTTGTTATTGCTGAGAGACGACCAGCAAGGGTCTGAAATGAAGTGGGGATCCAAGTTCATCTCAGGGGGCACACAGAGTAGACAGTTTTAAGGGGGTATGGGTCAGAAGGTATACCTCCTGACCAACCCACATCCTAACAACAATAAGATGTACCCTATTCTTGCTAGCAGCCACACTCCTTGACACTAACCCAACCTGAATATCGTATATGCAGATTCTATACTCCAATCCCAGAAGCTACAATAAGATTTAGCTGACGATTGATGATCATGAATCGAAGATATGACTCTTCACAAAACATCCAAAAAGGAGGGTGAGATGTAGAAATATCCCGAATCTACCCCCCACACCATCATTGAGACGAAGGATGCGAACGGTCACGAGACTAAACATCGACATCTCAATGACAACGCTCATACCAATCAAGGGAAAGCTAGGAAGAATATTGCTGCAGAGCACGCCATCCCCAACAGACGACGACAGAGGAAACAAAATCAAAGGCCAAACGCCACATTCAACTCTTTAACGCGCACCCGCGAGTATCACAACTGGAGGAATGAGGGTGACAACACTAGAGAGTCCAAAATACGTCAACAAAACTCAAAACCCAAACGAATTTCCGAACGAATACGGCCTTTGATACGGACGCGACGTAAAGGGAACCTCAACAAAGTCTAGAAGAACATCAAGGAAGGGCAGGAGGAATGAACGACAGGCCAGGGCACCGAGAGCGATTCCCAGCGTGCGAGGGTACCCAAATCGTATAAATAGATGGCAAAGGCAAGACTTAAAGAGAACCAAGGACGCAAAGCCCAAACGATCAATGCCGGAGAAGCGGTCTGACGAACCACTCCATGTCTCGCTGGCGATACGCAACATACAAAGACATCAAACACAGAAAAGTCGTAGAGATACACACGACAATACGACGACTCAGGGGCTCGATGGTGATGAAGGAGTCGCCCGAAGGTGGCGATGATGGAGACGAAGTAGAACGAAGTGTGAGAGACGACGAAATTCCACCGGAGAAGGCGACGCAATGGTATGGAATCCCGAATCAATAGGCGTAGGCGACACTTCTGCGGCACGATGGAGCTAAAAACGAGACAAACATTAGATGGCAAAAAGGCGAACCAGGAAAGCGCGGGGAACTCGGTTTCCAAGTGTTCCGAGGCAAAAGGCGCCGACGAAACTTGGGGAACTCTTTTTCCAAGTGTTCAGAAGCAAACAACACCGACGAAACTTGGGAGGACTCCGTTTCCAAGTATTCAGAGGCAAAGAACACCGAGGAAACTTGGGGAGATATTTTTCCAAGTTTTCAGAGGCAAAGAACACCGAGGAAACTTCAGAGGAAACCCCGTCGAGAGAACAAAAAGACTAACAACAACAAAAGAAAGAAAAAAGAGAGAGAGAACGTATATATCGAGGTCGCGGCAGTTCACTGATTCAGACGAATGCAGGCAACAAGGAAGAAGGGTCACTCGAACTCCCGAAAAGGGACAAACAGGGAAAACCGACCGAGAGGGGGAGGCCATCGCCGGGCTCTCAAGTAACGAGCGGCGAAGGTGCACACGTGACACCGCGTGGCTTGAGGCGCTGTTGCCCCAACGTCCAAAACACAAAACAAGCAAAAAAAAAGAGACACGACAAAACGATGAACAAAAAAAAAAAAAAAAAACGGAAGGCGAAGAAGGTCAAATCGCCGACAAGAAGGAGGGCACAAAAGACTAAAATAGGCCAACACGTTGAAGAAAACGACGACGCTAAGAAAAATGTAAATGTTGGGAACAGCTGACGATAAGGAGTCAGTAAGGGGCGGAGTGCAACCACGGCTGTCTCCCAAAGGGCGCGAACGTTGTTCCTCTAAACACCACGATCCACAGACGGCGTCCAAGGCGGTGGAGTAGAGGTGCGCAGGCAGAAGGAGAATACTTGGGCCCGAGTCATTCAAGAATCGAACGATGTACGAGCCGTCTTGATGAGCACCAATGCGTCCGGTCCACCACAAGCCATGGCGGGCCTTGTACCACAGCCGCACGCCCACAGGGAAGGGTCAAGTGCTGAAACGACGAAGCCCAAGTCTCGTGAAGCACAAGATCAGTCCCAGGAGGCACATAACGTTCTCCACGAGTCCGGGCTAGCTCCCGCTGTGCCGCGCAAGTCCGAGCCACTCGATAAGTGCGGTTACCCTGCTTGCTTTGGCAAACCTCTCGGGACCAGTAAAAGAGGATGTGTCGACGTAATTGATCGAGGTTGGATTCCCGTTCCCATGAAGGAGTAGTCAGGCCTAACCAATGCGTCTGGTACAGGACAGCGAGAACGCCGTTACGGCCCCGCACCAGTCGATGTCCCGAGATGTAGTCGACCTCTAGGCGTCCGACAGGCGCCAACACGTCATCCGCGGTCACGTAGAACGGTGGACATTTATCTCCGAAATATTGCAGAACATAGCGCAAAAGATCGGCGGGTAGAGATCGTGGCAAGTCGTCCGTCTCGTATGGATTGCGACAGGGCTTGCAACGAAGGACAGACACGCGACATCGAGCTGCTGGGTCGGAAAGATCGGAAGGCAGGTCCAGGTAGAGGATTTTACGCGCCAACGGGCTGCCGTCCGGGGCGGGTTCGGCAGAAGCGGGACCCACCGCGAAAACTTTATAGGGCCCCGTCAAGGAAAGTGAGAGTTTGGCCTTGACCACCTGTTGGTCCGTGTCCTTCCGCACACCGTGTCGAAACGTAGCAGCCGTGTTGTACACCCAAGCCCACCCGCCAACGGTAAACTGAGGGAGCTTGCGGATGGCGTCCAGCAGGGATGAATTGCGGCGTTCGACTCGCGAGATCTTCAGAGCTTTGTACTCACGGACAAGATCGTAAGCCCGTAGCTGGCGATCGACAGCTAGGTTGCAATACTCGAGTTGATCGCGGTCCAAGCTTTGATGACCACCGACAGTGGGATGATCGAAGACCAAAAGCGGAAGTCGCGGGATGCGTCCGATGTGGATCACGTTTGGCGCCAACCCAGTAGACTGGTTCACGGAATAGTTGTAGGCAAACTCAACGTGCGGGAGATGTACGTCCCAATCGTTTTGCTGTTCGTTGACGACCACCGCAAGCATCTGGGCCATCGTGTGATGGACGCATTCCGTGCCGCCGTTGGTCTGCGGGTGGTAGGAGCTGGTGGTGACCTTCTTGACTTTCATCACCTCGTAGATAGCCATGGAGAGCTTCGAGCAGAAAGGAAGTTCGATGTCCGACAATATTGTAGTCGGACATCTCCACTTGGTCATGTCCTGGTTGACGAACATGTGAGTCGTCCCTTTCGACGTAAATTCAGCCGCTGTGACAGCGAATATGTCTGCTCTCCGACTGAAACGGTCTGTGAAAAACAGTATGTAGGAGTTGCCCTTGGCAGTCATTGGCAGAGGTCCAAAGAAGTCGACGCCGACGACCGTACCAGTCCCCTGAGGCAATGGCATAGCGATGACGGGCCACCGAGCAGTCTGACGCGAAGTCTTGCGAGCTTGGCACACCAAACACGCACGGGAGTCACCAACGCACGGAACGATCCAAACCAATCCACCAGTGGAAACGCTCGAGCAAACGTTGTGTACGATGAACGCCGAGATGAAAGGACGCGGCTATATGGCATGCATGGAGGACCCACGGACGCATCAGAACTGGCAGTTAGACACGGGGCACTCCAGTATCCGGTAAACGAGTGGTCCTCCCGCCAGAACGCCCGATGAGCGGCGGCCCCGATTTATGTACGAGGAGGG